CGCTTGGTATCAAAATCACATAATCGATTTCTCAAAAAAAAACTGGAAACAGTGAATCGAGAATCAGTAGCCCCTACATGATTATAGCACGCAGTACGAAACAGCTCAAAACAAACAGTAAACAGGGCTAAAAACAACATGCACCACAACGTACATGCAACACGACTTACCGCACACGCAAGGCATCAACACCCGATAACCGATTGTACACGTCATCATTACTTGGTCCAACCGCATGATGCGCTTACAAAATTACAACCCGATTGAACAACACTACTATACTAGCGCTGAGAGGCGTCTAGTCCCCATCGGTACTATCGAGGGTCACTTGGTACGGTTCGATTATATCAGAACGTACCCTGCGTACTATCTCTAATATGCCGACCGCTACCTCGCCTACTCCACTAACAGTCAAGAGAGTCGCCTACGCCTACTCCCTACACCTAACCTAACACATATCAGATAGTTACCAAGGTACCGTTCCGATATATGCGAACCGTACCAGCAGGCCAGGGTACCCTCCGATAGTACCCTGCTGGGAGGGGAATAGAATCTATGAGCACTACTACCCGACATGCTCTACAGGCTCTACGACTGGTTTACACGGTTCCTGAGAAGAAGGTTGCGCCCCTGCCCGCCCCCTGCCACCTGGCCTGAACATAAGCAGGAGTAAGCGAAAGCGTGACGACATAGCTGAGAAGCAGAGAGTTAATTATATTAGCAGAGCCTCCGCGCGGGGCGATGATGCCGCCACGAGCGCAGAGGCACCATACTTAGGAAATCAATGGTAAAACCCAGTCTTACTTCATTTTCCATGGCCGGGTCCGTACGATAGTCTCCGTGTGACAACATGCCACCAGCATATACCTATATATATATATCTCATCACACTGCTTTAGCATGCAGTGTTCTAAATTGCGCTCTTCTCTCTCCTCTCTTCTTCTTCTCTCTCTCTCTCTCTTATATAAGTATTTATATATATATTATTAGTATATATATATCCTGTGGCCTTGCCGGAACTGTACACGTGCTATGTCCTAGAGCTAAACACAGGCCTACTCGGTACCTGTATGTGCTATATCAAGAGTAGATAATAAAACATAATAACGTGTTTTATTATCTACTCTTGGCTTAACCCGACCAGGCTGTGTGACTAACGTCAATATGCAGTATTCTAATCCTAGCAATACCATTTCTTGGAGCTACTCTTGGCTATATGTGTGCGTCGCAAAAAATAAGTCATAAATAAGATAGCTCCAATATGTATAGACAATCGGTCGCACCACAGGCACTTTGGAACGTCTCAATAAAAAAAAAAAAAGGCAAATAAACACGAAATGTACCAAAGTCTTAATGCTTCTCCATACTCTATTTCGCCTATAATCACTTGTAAATACCGGTCTAATGCTCATCTGCAACACACAAGTACACCGCACGCCCGCCCTGTGATCAGTCTCTCTTATTCATGTTGTTTGTGCACGCAGCACAGAGCGGGCGTGCGGTGTACTTGTGTGTTGCAGATGAGCATTAGACCGGTATTTACAGGTGATTATAGGCGAAATAGAGTATAGACAGGGTTCATAGTAGTAAGACACATGTTGAAATAAGGACTTATAAGACCCTTTCTGGAGGCCAAAATAAGACTTTTTTATGCGCTTTGTGATAGATCAACAACTATTAAAGTACACTAATAATATTTATATACACATTTGCACAGCAGATTTAATTATTCCATATTATATATACAGCAATTCTTACTCTAAGTCGAGAACAGTTTATAAAACAATTTATATGAAATATTGTAGGTTGCCAAAAATAAGGACTATTAAGTACTTAATTTTCTAATATTTCACCAAAAATAAGTACTAATAAGGGCCCTTATTTTATTTTTGGCAAAATAAGTACTTATATATAAGACTTTGGAAGACCTGGCCGCTACGAACCCTGATTGAGAAGCATTAAGACTTTGGTACATTTCGTGTTTATTTACCAATTTTTTATTTTATTGAGACGTTCCAAGTGCCTGTGGCCGTGGGTCGCACAGCCTGGTTCGGCTAAAATAAGATGCACCAATTTACGCTGAGAGGGTTTACCGGTATGTCCCCCGGGTACTGCCGGAATGGGTACGGTCCCGTATACCAGAACGTACCCTGGTACTATCTAATAATATGCCGGACCGTACCTCGCCTACTCCACTAACGAGTCTAGGGAGTCGCCTACGCCTACTCCACTAACGAGTCTAGGGAGTCGCCTACGCCTACTCCTTAACCCTAACCCTAACCCTAACCCTAATCCTAACCCTACCCATACCAAATAGTGACCAGGGTACGTTCCGGCAGTACGGTACCCTTGGGGAGATAGAGTCCCTATGAGCCCAATTTACAGTCTACTAACCCGACCAGGCTGTGTGACTAACGTCAATACACTAGGTATTCTAACCCTAGCAATACCGTTTCTTGGAGCTATATTAACAGTAACAGTAACACTAACACTAACTAACAGTAACAGTCTACAACTTACAAGAAACATATGTGTTACAAACCAATGCACTAATACTAATAGTAATACAAAATACGAATATTACCCTACGTACGTACTTTATGGTATATAATAATCCAACGTGCACACTACTGACAGTGACAGTAGCATTTACAACATCCTCCAGTGAAGTTGTACAACGATGAACGAACAGTAACAACAAACGCACATGCAAGACTCGCGACCGCCGAAGGTGCAATCGATATTTACCAAACTTGTTGCTTCATCTATGCTTCAATCGGCACACCTCGGCTTTTTCCGGCGTACGTTCGTCGTTGGCAGAGAGATCTAAGCGCCACCAAGCGGGTGTTGCTATCCCCCGGGCGCGTGATTTTTTTTCTTAGGTGAGAATAGACCATCATAGGATCCTATACTTAGGATTTGAATTTCAGGAGCTGAAAAATAGTATTTCGACCGTTTTCGGCCAAGTGGCAATATTAAAGCTAGGTAGCCATGTACTTCAGCTGTGCACCATTAGAATTATGACATATTAGATTGTCCGGCGTTTTAAAAAAATATCGCAAATTTACTACACAACACCACATTTGTGCCTGAAAAACAGTCGCGCAGTTTAATGGGGGCCATACATTGAAAGAGTTCGTTTTAAATTACCAGTAACCATCCACCCATCTCAATGTGCATGTCATTGCCACACACGATAGCCAGCCTAAATAATGCAACCACAATACGTCGCGTCAGCTTTAGTGCACGAGTTGCGGGCCCTCCGCTTGGTCGGCCGATGACGCGTCACATCCTCTAACCTAGCAGGGTAATGAACCGGAAGTGATTTAATAGTGGTCACGTGTCTGTATAGAAACGTTTTTTTCTCGGAATCTGTCAAACGCAATAAAATTCGTTCCGACAAACACCGCTGCACATGGGTGCAAAATTTTTGTATAATTCGCCGTACGATTTTTGAGTTTTGGCGATTTCTTCGACCCCACCCTCCCGGCTTCAAGGCGATTCCGGTGCCCGTCTGCTTCGCGGAATGCCAAGTCGGTGCATAGTTCGAGTAGTCGCTAGAGTTTAATAGAATGATTTACATTGAATAAAATTGCATTCACCTATGCGAAACTTGATATTCTATGTGATCAATAAAAAATAAATATTTAAATCGCACGTCGAAAACGATTTCTCGGTAATTTAGAATGCCACATGATCGGACATAAAAAACGGGTCAAATTTTGCATTAGATTGAATATTTTTCTGAAAATAAAAGTGTTTTTTGTCAAATTTGATGCTAAACGAACGCGACATGTCTAATTGTTGTCTGCTATGCTAAAAATTAGCACTCGGAAGCAATCCGTTATTTTTTTATAGCGATTCAAGCGGCTGTGAGAATTGTACACCAGGTGGCGCTATCACATCATAGTGCTATTGGTAGACGTTCTATTTATGTGCTCCAACAATGATGGTTGGAGGCATTTTTGATCATATCTCATAGAACCACCAGTTACTCCCCCAGCCAAGTCATACATGCTGCCTCTGTTCACTGAATCTCCTAACAGCCCAATAATGGTGTGGCATGTCTTTCCAACTGAATGAGGGTGGCAGCAAGAATCGCCTGACTCAGTGCCAACTCCAGTCTACATCACAATTCCTACCATTTCTCGGGACATGCAACAGCTTGTCACTTGCTAGTGTAAGACAGACTGTAAGGCTCCTTGCAAGTGCTGTGTGCACAGGCAGCCCTGCATGTTTCTCTGTAGATGCCCTGGGTTCTTGTTCCCATACACATATGATGAGGGAGGTACAGAAAGATGAGAGCCCAGCTGAATGAAGGAATGTGTTTGGATGTGCTTACATTGTCAATACAGTCTCCGGACAAATTCTGGTGTGGTATATGTTTTATCAAAACGTCAACTTTGTGTATTATTTCTTGAATTTTACCTCTAAATATATTCCAAATGCCAAATTAATGCCAAAAATGAATTCATGCAGTGACCTCAAATTAGCTAAAAAAAAACATGTCACAATAGTTTTTATGACAAACGGTTCAGGAGTTGTGAGTCGACCAAGTTTTCCAAAATGGCCACCAGCAGCCATCTTGGATTTTGAGATAGAACGTGTCTTTGGATAATTTTGTTTCTGGTGCCCTAAGGAAAGTTTATGACAAAGGGGACATTTGTAGCATGAGTTGAAGTAAAAAACACTTAGCATGTCTACTATTAGGCAGTTTCGAAGGTCATTGTGAAATGGGGGTAGGACGCGGTCTGGGAGAACGCGGGTACATGTGCGTGCAGGATGTTTGTAGGATCGAGTTTTGGGGGGGATATATCAAACTGCATGCAGCGCCCCTCTTCGCACACTCAGGATACCAATAGTAGATTGAGCCAATGAGCGAGAGCGCCATCTGTCGTGGAGTTTGGGGATATATATGACAGAGATGTAAGAGTCGAGATTCTGGTGCTGGTCGCGAGAGAAAGCGCGTGCCACGCGCGTGTGCGTGGTTTTGTGTTTCTTTGTGCGATGTGTCTACTACACTGTATGATTTATTAAAGATTATTCCGGTTACAACACAAGTTTTGGCTTTACATCATCATTCTTGTTTACAATGCTGATGGGCTGTTGTAGCAGTTTCTTTACATGTAAGAGTGTCTTTACATGTTGCGATGTCACACCATATAGATTCTGTTTCAAATTGGTTTGTGAACTTTTCGTTTGTTACGTTGTTTTCGTTTAAATCAGAGTGAATATATAACATAATAAAACATATCTATGGTTTGACTGGGTGTTGTGTTGTTTTTCTCTCTCGAGAGAGGGCGCTGCGACTAACATGTAACGGGAATGTTATAATCGGGCATTGTTGTCGTTCGACGTGTCTGTTAGTGTTTACATATACATTATCATGGTGTGTATCAGTATGTAGTATTTACTAGTATTCCACGACTGTTGGCGATTAAGTAAACATCGTATGGTGTGAAAATACTCTTAACGTAGCTTCTACTGCGTTTGTAGACTTCAGAAAGGAAATAGTTTGATCCGTGGAAAATCTAGATACTACTAGTACTACTCCTAGTACTACTACTAACTAGTAGTAGTAGTACTAGTACGTAGTAGTAAGTAGTACGTCCAGGGGGGCGGCGTACGGGGGGCGCCGGGGGGCCTGGGTCCCCCCACTTTTTTGGCAGAAAATATATGTCTATGTGTATTTTGGTATGATCGACAAGAAATGCAAGAAAGAAAGAGGGAATAAGGAGGAGAGGAAGGGGAAAGAGCGAAAGAGAGTGTTTATCCACATTTTCATCTGCCTACTGGAAAAATTTCAAAGTTTGACGAACAGTCCCTCTAGTCTTACTCTACAGCAAACAGACATGCACAGCGCCGTATTTACCCCAAAGACCCGCGGCACTTCGGGGCTTTGTTCCTGTGCTTCAGAGGCTCGAACGAGGGTCGAATATCAGTAACCGTACTTGCATATGCAGCCCCGTAGCCAGGGCGGCGTTCGGGGGGATTCGAACGAAACCCCCCCCCCCCCAAGCCAAAAAATGTGTTTTTTTGAAAATTGCAAGAATTTCACTTCAGGGTCGCTCCATTTTTAGTGTAGATAATGCAAAATCTCCACGTACGGAGGGGGAACAGTGAACACCACCTTCCCACGACCCTCCCCCGCCGCTTGTCGCTTGGCTCCCTCGCCTGTCGCTTCGCGCCCGAGCAGGAGGCGTGTACAGGCGGGGGTTGAGGGAGGTCCGGACCCCCACTTGCTCGGCGCAGAAAACGCATCTGAAGGGAGTCTAAATTTGAAAAATTTTAGACATCGCAGACCCCACCCTTCGCGTGCTCCCTACTTTGGGTTAACGTTAGGACCCACGCCCTGGTAACATTCATGTAGGCCTACACGCCCTGCCGGAGCAAATTGCCAACAATGAAAAACGAACCCCCCCCCCCAATATAAAGCTAAACCGGGCCTGCATATGCACACATTGTACTTATACCTGGCACTATGCACAGCGTACGCACAGCTTAAGTACGCGCCAGCACGCAGAGCCGGTATAGCCGCGACCGTACCAGGGTACGTTTCCGGCAGTAACCTGGGGACATAGACCCTATGAGCGTTAGTGTTTATGTATATAATTTATATAGTTCCCTTTATTCTTTTAGTTTAGTTTGCACTTTAGTTCTTAATCTTTTTAAATTAATAAATAGTTGATGTATTCTGTTATGTAGCAGCCTTGGGTTTTTTAAAGGCACAAACTGTTGTCAGCAACATGAAGATAAACTAAAAATAAAAGCTACAGTCAGGATCTTATAACTGTTTTAAATATCATTCAGCAATGTATTTTTTTGACTATACCAGGTTGACAGAAAATTGGAAATTTCTGTACGCCCATGAAAAAGATTCACCTATTTCATATTCTTTATTCCTATTACATGTATTCATATTGATGCAAATTAGATATACTTCACTATAGTTGACATGTACATAGACATGTACTGAAAAGGTGTTATTTCCGTTTTTCTTTCATTTAAAAATTTGAAATTTTCACCTTCGATGTGCAACCAGATCGCTCCATTTCAAGTGCAAAATTGAAAAAGCTCGCCTGCCGTGGGAGGGGGATCCCCCTCCCACACCCACCCTTCGCCGCGTAGTACTGGCTCCCTCGCTCGGCGCTTCGCGCCGCGGAATAACTTAGCCCCCCCCTGGCATGGTGCGTTCATTCTCTCATTGGGCCCACCGCACTTTGAAAACCGTGGCGCCGCCCCTGGTAGTAGTACCTAGTAGTACTAGTAGTAGTAGTGAGGCTGAGAGGGTCTATGTCCCCCAGGGTACTGCCGGAACGTACCCTGGGTACGGTCCGGTATACTGGAACGTACCCTGGTACTATCTAATATGCCGGACCGTACCTCGCCTACTCCACTAACGATCGAGTCTAGGGAGTTGCTTACGCCTACTCCCTAACCCTAACCCTATACCCAAACCCTAACCCTAACCATATCCAATACTAGGGTTCAAGGATAGAGATGATGTCCAGTACGGTGATTGGATAGGATGATGTTAGTTGATAAGATAGGACTGGACATCTTCTCTATCCCTAAGCCTCAAATAGTTATCAGGGTACGTTCCGGCAGTACCCTGGTGGACATAGACCCTATGAGCAGTATAGTGTGTAGTAGTAGTACTAGTAGTGTTACTGATATGCTTTGTGATCTTAACTGTGATACACTTCATGACAGAAGAGAAAAGGCACGTCTTATAACTATATATAAAGAAACTCACAAACATTCTCCATCCAACATCAGTCACCACCTGGCAAGCAATACTTCAGCCAGACCCACTACTTGTCAAACACATGAACTGAATTACAATATGTCATTCGTCCCAACAAAGACTGTTGTAAATTTTTTATAGATACTCGCTTTATCCCCGGACAATACCAACATGGAATGCCCTACCACCTACTACCAAGACTGCTCTTGATGTGGCTTCATTAAAAAACTTAATTAACAGCGGTAAAGAAAATGTGAAGAAAATTTAGAACATCAAAGCGATCCACATTGACCTGTACATCTATAGCCACACCAGGCGATTAGTACAGTACCAAACAAGACAAGATACACCACACTTGATTGGCTAGTATATTTACGATGTCATCAACGTTATGTTTGAATCCCATAAGGTTTAGCTATCTAGAAAACTTAGGTTCAAATCCCATTTATTTCTACACATTTGTAGCCCCGTTTGATCATAGAAGCTATTTTCCGTGAATTACGTTTCTAATACGAAACCTTTTGAATACATTCATAATATACTATAACAATAACATAGGCCTACATATATACACATACATAGATATACTAGCCAATCAGAGGTACTGTACAGTCAGGTGCGGATCCAGAGTGTTTGGGTGACTATGCAATTTCCATAGTTGTAGTCACAGCTAGGGGGGTCTGGGGGCATGCCCCCCGGGAATTTAAAAAAAAGAAGGCTATATTTGGTGCATTCAGGTGAATTTTGAGGGTCAATTCTGAAGATACCCAGCCTGTGACCGATTTCTGGAAACCGGTGCAAACCGGCCTAAATCCGTGCCTCACAGTAAAATAGCGGAAATGGATGCTCTGCCGTATATGGTTAAATATCCACTGTGTAATAATAATACTATATATAGTATATAGCTCTAGAACTATTGCCCTTCGGCGCTTCGCTCTGCTACAGGGCTAGCCTATAGCACAAACTACGTTGAAACTGGGCAACGATACTGCTCCCTCTGCTCCCACGAGGAATGGATCACATAGTTTGTGCTATAGCCCTGTGGCAGAGCGAAGGGCTATATAGTTCTAGAGCAAATGTACTATATACTAGTACTTGTGTTGAGGTTTTTATACACGGCACATGAGGGGAGGAGCGGGCAGCTGTGTATGCTGACCAGACCATTTGTGGTTTTCCCCAGCCACGTTGCACCCACTGCGGAAACTTGTACACAGCCGAGCAGCCGTTTTTGTATGCCCAATGTAGCTGTGACTTGTGGCACCATTGTGGAAGAAAATTAAAATTATCCAGCATTAAGTCCATTTAATGTGAGTTTTTTTTATGCTTCAGGACTTCTCACGATTTGTTGATGAAAATTTTGATGTCAAAGAATGGGTGAATGCAGCTTTTGCTACACCAGATGCCCAAGGTTCTATAGATGTAAGTTATCATTACTAATGACGTTAGATTCAGCCATGTAGACATAAGAATATTATCGTGGTATAAACATTTAGAGACCATTTAATGACAAGATTTGAGACAAGATAATGTCATGTGAAATAGATGTTGATGTAATTGCAGTACATTTTATTCATTTTTGTTATGTGTTGGTTACAGCATTGAATAAACTTGCTATATTCATAGGCACATGCAGCATCCCTGGTGATGAAACTCCAAATGCTTGTCCAAGAACTCAACAACTCATTGGAGGAGACCAGTATTCAAGCCGTCCAAAATCTACCCAGGTAGACATACAATATAGTTATATATATTTACACAGGGTGAGAGCAGTGGTCTAGCGAATACCACAAGTTACAGCTGACGTCTGGGGTTTGAGTACTGTGATAACTGGTGTTGTGCCCTTAAGCAAGGCACTTAATCCTGACTAACTGCAGTTAGCATTGGTTAGGCTGATGCAGTCAACAAGAGTTTATCTCACCAGTGTAAAACTAGCAACCTCTTGCATAATAGCTAGTAGATTCTCCGGACAAACCTTGTTAATAAACTCAAAGTAACAGAGTTGTTGATGCCCCATGCTTCCTGTTTGGAACCAAAATTATAATAAATACCTTTACACACAGTCCTTCCTTTTGTGAGATACCTGCTCACCAATCACTGATCATAAGTGCACCAAAAATTGGATCATATCTAGCTATACATTCTGCATCTAAGTATGCTTATTCTCATTTATATTACATTAATTGTTACCTAGATATATGATTGCAAAATGTTGTTGCAGAGTTCTGCGAGACATTGATTCAGTTAGACAGGAAGCGGCTATGCTGCAGGAGCAAATGAGACTGGTCGCTGAGGATATACAGAAAGTTTGTATTATATCAGTGAATGGGGCTTAAGCTGGGAAATTCATGCTGAAAGTCTGAACAATATAGGGTTGGGATGTGTCCTGGTGGTTAAACCTGGAGTAATTTCCTCATTTATCCATCCTAGGTTTTAAACTATAGCAGGTTTAAACTCTGATGCTGCATGTTACATACAGAAGGCCAGCAGTCCAACTAGGTCCTCTTAGGTCCAAAACATGTTCTTGCACTGATGTAGCACAGTACTAGCACCTGTAAATGCAATATATATATATATATATATATATATATATAACAATCTGTGTGTGTATGCGTACATGTAGTGGTGTAAGTGTGTTTTAACCTAATGTTGTGTTATTAGCACACGAATGATTCAATTAATTATTTATTGCGTAGGTGGAAAGGGACACTTCACAGTCAATGCATGTGCTTCTGAAGATTGACCAGATCAAGTGTCGTATGCAGGAGGCAAGCCATGCACTCAAGGTATGATAGATTAAGAACCTATTGTCAGGTATATGCAGGGCACGTGAAGTTATGCGCACATTGATGGATATATGCATGAGATCTGAAGCTATGCTAGAGCACATGATGGACGTATGCAGGGGACTTGAAGCTATGATAAAATGTCTATATGTGCAGCCACATGTGCCAGGTATCTAAGTCTATGCAGTGGTTTTTGTTTTATTTATAGGAAGCGGATAACTGGACAACATTGTCTGCTGATGTGGAGGACGTGTTTAGATCTGGTGATATTGAGAATGTATGTCGACGCGTTCATAATTCCTGTTGCTCCCTTATAGCATAGCTCCTTTATTCAAAGCATACCTCCCTGATCAGTATGTGTACCACCCCTATTACAGTAGCCTTCATTTATTCACCACAAAAAAACTTGTTCATTATTTTTTTATCTCAATATTTAAAGTACCCATATTATATCAGAGTAAATATTTTTCACCTTGAAGTTTTGCCACACAAGTGTGGTGTTATGTAATTTTAGTTATTTGCAACAGTACTAAATTGCATTGTGATACGGCATAGTTTAATGCAAGCTGAACATCACAAAGTGTCTCATACATAAATATTTTCCTCATCCTTCAGATTGCTTCAAAGTTAGTCGCGATGCAGCAGAGTTTGGTACGTATAGAACTTTGTTTGTTTAATAGCCTACACTTGACTCCGAGAAATGCAAGCAGTAACACGTTCATATCTTGCTGCATTTGCATAGGTTGGAAGATCATACCATTAGTAAGGTGGCCATTATAAATATTTGTTAGAATTTCACTATCTCATTGACAGTGTGATGGCACCTATCATTTGTGAAGTGGTATAGGTACGTAAACATGTTTAAATTCGGATTGTTTTACAGCAACTTCTGGTAGATGTTCCAGACTACAAGGAGAGATGTCAGTATTTGAATACATTGAAGACCAGACTGGAAGCAATTCTGAGCCCACAGCTGGTTTCAGCTTTCAGTTCCCACTCACTAGGTATGGGTGAATTTACTGAAAAAATGTGGTTGGTTAAAGGGATCGTTTAATCTAGGTTCTAGGTTCTAGGTTCTATTCAGTTAATTTAGGTTAAAATTACGCTACATAAAAAGTCATGGTTCAATCACCATTAGAAATATTATTAAAAAATGTTTTAAAACTACGACTACAGTTTGATTACAACGACGGTGGCGCCACTCAAAGCGCACGATCTGATAAGTTGCGCAAAACCATTTTTCAGCCAAGGGCTACAGACCGAGGGTGTTTCTTATTTATTAATTTAAAAGCAAAAGGATTGTAATATCTTATAAACGACATATAGTTTCAGTTATAATATGGATAAATTTACCCTGAAATGAATATCGTTCGGTTAAATAGCATTTAGGTATAAATATAATTGCACTTTTGTGATTAGCCCTCGGTCTGTAACGTGCAAAATAAATTGTCAAATATGCAACTTGGGGGTGGCAGCACGGTCGCGGGTGTCATGGCGCCGTTCAAATTTTGTAGCGTTGATGTGTAATTAATTATAACAATTATATTAGGTATCTGGTAACAAATACGTGTGGGTATAGGCGATTTGTTATACAGTAAGTACAGTTGTATGCAGTAAAATCCTAGAGTCTACTATCCCTTTAAGTGCATTTTTACATGTAAGCCAGTATCTATATATAATGGCAAATGTCAAGCACTAAAATTTTTATGTTTAACTATTATTATTATTATTATTATTATTATACTATAAACTAACTATAGCTATAACTACTATAACTACTTAACTGTTACTATTAATATAACTATTAACTATATTTGTTAGTTTAATAGCCATAGGATATGTTAGTACTTATGCTCAAGTGTATTCTAACTGCAAGTAATAGTAATGATCTTAAAATTTGTCCTGCGTTGTAGATGGTGCATTAATGTATGTGAAGATTTTTAAAGATATTGACACGTTGCCGTCCCTGCAAAAATACTATCACAAGTGTATTAAGGTATGTAAATTGTCAGAGCAAAACAGGTGTTACTTGTCTATTATGCCAAGAAAATATATAGTGGACTGATGCAGTTTTTATGAAATAATTGTTCATGACCATATTATTTAAATATATCATTAGTATGTTATCTAAATTGATATAGAGGAAGTCCCTTAGTTACAAATATCTGAGCTGAGTAACAGTACTTTATTATTCATTTTCATATTTCGAGCACAATTGTACAAAATCAAACCACGTTTCTTGAATCGATTCCCAGTTCCAAACGGATGACCTGTGAACGGAATTTTTGAGTACATTGCACCTAGGAACTTTAAGTGCAATTTTGGAAAAACTTGTGTTATAACTATAGGGACTTGAATTTATAGGGATAAAATTATATTGCTTCCATGGCTATTGCAGGTAATTTGGAACCAATTATGTTGTTTCTGGTGACTTGGCATACTCTAAAATTCTATTGATACCATCTGACAGCTGATAGGTATTATACTTACAGAACCAGCTGCATGATCAGTGGAGAAAAATTAAAGATACTGACCCTGACGAAACTATTCTCGACTGGTTGAATGCTTTTTACGATGTTCTTGTCTCAGCGTGGCACACACAGGTAATTGCATGTGTCAGTACTGCTTATATAATCAGTATGCAGCTTCAGCTAAATTGTTAGGTATTTGTAATTAATACTGCTACCATGAATAGTACTATTAGTAGTACAAATGTCTTTTATAGCCTCGGTCACCATTGCATATGAGCGAGGCTCTATAATTTCAGCTAACTAGCTGAAAAATGCTTTTATGATGAATAATCAATCTGATAATCTGATAAGGGACACAACACTATGTTTCTTGTAATATTTCCAGTTCAAATTTGCGCTACATGAAAAATTCCATTTTTCAATATTCATAAGAAATATTTTTTTAATGTTTTGAAACTGACGGCTATACTATTGCTTACAACAACATTGGCGCCACTACAAGCGCATCCAGTGACAAAGTTGCGTAACATAGTTTTTTTGGCTGCAGACTACAGACCAAGGGTGTTACTAATTTATTAATTTAAAGGATTTTTTTAACATAATTTCCAACCAGTCTCCCCCTCCGTGTTTACCTACCCTCATACTTGGCTATATTTTACCAAAACATGCACAATTCTAATTTCGATTACTCGTTTTGATTACCGCCGCCATTTCTTGTGAAACTCGGACTATTTTGCAATACCGCGAGATATCGGCCAATCTCAAAATAGAAACGGAGTCAACAACACAGAATCAGATGCCTTTTTGTTTGAATTATGAATTAGGTGCAGATTGGGTGCACTTGTAACTTGTAGGTGCACTAAGGTGCCATTTGCAAACTTATTGTCGCTATACTCGAATATGGTGTTACGGGGTGTTCAATTCCAATTTTCTATGCTATAGCAGCATAAATTCTTAGTGTTTTTCAAGTTGGTGTAATCAGTAATAGATCCGCTATGAGGTGAGACTATATTTAGCTATATTTTTTCGGAATGTGCAGTTTGGAGCAATGATTTCGAAATAATTCTTTTAAGAGGAGAAGGATTGCAATATCTTATAAACAACTCTTAGTTTCAGCTATAATATGGACGAACTTGTCTTAAAATAAAAATCGTTCGATTAGATAGCAGTTGGGTATAAATATAATTGCACTTTTGTGGTTAGCACTCGGTCTGTAACGTGCAAAATAAATCTGCAGTAGCGCAACTTTGTCAGGGTGGCAGCACAATGGAACGATGTCATGTCAGTGGTCAAAACTATAGATTTTGAAACTCACTGTTATTTTGTAACAAATGTGAATGCATGATTATAGAAATATGTAGGTATATACTATTATTTACGCACGTACTATCAAATATAGTCTAAAATTCTACGATTTAGCATCCCTTTAATGATTCGTGGTACTATGACTACTATAATATCCTGTTCTGCTAGCCTGGAGACTATTCCATCATGACTACTTGTACCAAGGCTAACCTGCTAAAAAATACTGCTGTAGCTGACATTGTCACCACTTGAAGTTGTACTAGTTTCTGTTGCTACATTAATAATTAATAATAATAACCTATTACAGGTATAACAATACACTAGGGTCACGATACAATACGTATCGTGATACACAGACAAAAATATCATATATAATATGTATTCAAACACTTTCATAACACAAATGTATTATGAGTAGGCCTATGTCAAAGCCATAGAAATATATAGTAAACAATCAGTTACGGTACTATATATTTCTATGGCTGAAACACACCGAGACGTTCTTAGTGTGCTCTAGACGGTCCTGTAATCAACATCTTCACTCACATGTGCGCCATACACAGTGCTACAGTACATGCACAGTAACGTCACACACCAGTCAGTCAGCACTCTTGATTGTTTTGCGGTAACAATTTTGGCAGCAATACAAGCCTGCAACATATATTGACCCAGATTTAGTATGACAGCCGAGGATGTTTACGTGATACTGGGAGGGAGTACATAAACTTGTTAACATATAAATCAAATAAAGAATTCAATTTAAAAGGAATTACATGTGCTTAGCTTCATTAGCTTGCCTTGTTCACTGTTTAACATCTGTATTGTTTGTATCGAGATACGGATGCTGCGTATCGGTTATCGTATTGTGGGCCGCTGTATCGTGGTTCACCGATGTACCGGTGAATCGTTACACTCATGGAACCTCTGTCTATTTCAACATGCTGGTAACATCTGAATGCTATACTACGGTGAGCACATCTATAAAATCAGGAGTGGATAATAGAGATGGATAATCTCTATTATCCACTCCTGATAAAATGAATAGGTATTGTATAGGTTTTGCTGTCACTTCTGCTGTTGCTGTATTTGCGTTCAAAGCTTGTTTGTGATAGAAGATTTGTTGATGTTCTGTAGTTGAAGTGGTGCACGCAGGTGTTTGATGAGCCTGTGATGGTAGTGTGTGAAATAATGGATGCTACGCTGGCAGGCATGGAGCCACCCATATCACAGTGTATCGAGAATGAAGTGTGCAACCGGCCAAACCCACTCATCTGTCTGTTGGAGCTAAAGGAGGTGAGTAGTAAGTCACTGCTGTGACGTACAACAATAATAGATGATATAGATCGGTGGAAGAGTAAGTTTTAGGACTAATGTGAGTATAATGATTTATTTTGTCTTCATATTAGATATTAGAAAAGCCATAATGAATCATTATGTGTGTGTGCAAGCGTGCGAGCATGCGTGCGTGCGTACATGTGTGTGTAAATATTCATATAAAGATCACTTTGTTATGCACTTCAAAACCTTTGTACAAGCTTGTGTTTTGGAAAATGGAGTCACAATATATCCATTCTGTCACGATACTATTCGATACTTTACATGGGTACTTTATTTAACAGGAAGTTCCGGAATATGGGGTGATACTCCATTAGGAGTGTTCCCAACTTTAATGTCATTAATGGTCATAATAACGTATATATATATGGTCATGGTCATATATTAGTTTGTGGTTTAATGTCATTTAGGTTAGTGTTAGGGTTAGGGTTAGGGTTAGGATTTTCAATCATTAATCAGCAATCATTAATCATTAATGATATCAAAGTTGGGAACACTCCTAATGGAGCGTTAGCCGGAATATGAACCGAAACCAAAACCACGTAGTTTTGTTTTTGTTTCACTGGTGAATAAAGGAGTTTAGTTATTAAAATCTGTGTTGAGCTAGTATCCTGGACACAACACATTCAATAAGTAAATTCTTCTGTCTGATATCTATATATACACATTTCTCTCATACATTGGCATTGGCAGCTACCGTAAATGACCAAGAGGTGCTGCACTCAGTTTACAGTTGTGTAGAGTTATTATTTGCATTCATCTTGTTTACCAGGTGACTGATAGATATGCAAAAAGCATGGAGGGATTAATCACTGCTGTTGGCAAAGGTTGGTATACCTCAATGGACAACACATCAAAATCACAATGAGTTGATAGTATTGCATCAAAGGAATTATTTCATAAATAACTGCAAAATTAAGAAAAATATATTGAAATATAGTCTCACTAATACTATATACTATTATAGTATTAGCGAACATGTTACTGATTACTTCAATATGAAAATTAACATGTTTATGCTTTTATGGTATATAAAATAGGAAATAATGCAGCTACATTCTTTCATAAAGCAAAAAATAACATGAAATCGGCCACCACTTGTAAAATGGTACACCATCTCTATTGGTTAATTCAAGGTAACATGAATGTAGAGGGACAGGGTCTTGGGAAAAACAAATGGCATCATCATATATCATGTTCATGTTTCATATCTTTTGTAAAAATAACAATGTACGAGTATTTTGAGACATGTTAGCCTTACTTTAGACACTTACTGTTATGCAGCAATACCAGTAAGTATTGTAGTGCTCTGAAAAATACTAGAACGGTCAGGAAGACTGCTTGAAATCATTACTTTATGCACCATTCTTTCCCCTCTAAAACAAGACCAACCACGTACTTGTCTCTATATCACTCCTATGCTGAGATATTGGATTGTAATCTTATCTCATCCAGGTGTTACGGTCGTGTAGAAATCAAGTTGAACTCATGTCTCTCGCTCCTAAGCTGGCTTCGGCATTTTGCCTGTCATTTTCTGTTGCTGCTTAAAGCACGCTGTGAACCTGCACACCGGCGCGGCTATCAACTTATTTCATGGCCAACTTATCTGATACCATCATTGATCTCTATGTACTAACTGGATAGCGGTTAACCAATCCATGATTGGTGAATGAGTGATGCCACCACAGCTCACCACTGGCTGCTAGCTTGCAACTGCTCCTAAAAGCTGAACTGTGCCGGTGTCTGCCCCACAACATTTCAAATGGATAATGACGAAATGCAGCTTATTTTATCATTTTCATTCGCCTTAAAACAAACTTTGATATATACACAACAGAATACATATATATTTATATACATACATAGATATATACAACGAGCGAGAGAGAGATAAAAAAACGATATGGTAGTCTACGTATAGAGGTTTTGGACGTGACATCACGAGTTACGCGAAAGCTCCGGTCAGCCTATTGGCCTGTTTCCTGATGATGCTACTTTGAGGAGTTGTGTTATGACGCCCGGTGGCTACACCTAATGACCACTAATAATATTCAACAACAGCCAGCTATATCTAATAACAGCCACTCTTAACAGTAACATTTAACAATAATATTACTCTGCAGCAGAACTTTCCTCACTCATATAATAACCAGGGAGGCAGGCTAGCTATTAATAGCAACTTCCCCACTCAGCCGGACAAACAAAGACCCGGTCAACTCACATACTGTTAAACTGGGAAATTCCCAACACACACACAAAGAAAACTAACTGCTGGAGGATATTTATTTTGTCTCCACAATCCAACGATATTAACACTAGCCCTCAGCTGCAATTCACACAACAAATGCAATAGGATGTTCTTAAAAATCATCCATGATATAGCAAATCAATAATTAAACATTTGTTAGTAAACTTACTAAATCCACATCTGCACACATGAGAATAGCTACTTCCACTTACACTGGCCTCAAATGTAATAAAACCTGGCTATACGATCCTGTAGACACCCACAACACATCCATATAACTCTCATACCAGAACTCCCAGCATTTAGAGAGCCCAGCAGTGCACACTTTTTACAGGTAGTCGAAGGAGAGCAGATCGCTTGTCCAGATTCCCCGCTAAGACAAAGATGGCACCCCTTCCTTCCTGCTCAAATCCAAACAAAGAGTTTATCCTCAATCCCCACAGAGCTTTCCAACCCTAACACCAGGCGGCATCACTATACGGAGTAAGTCATGTATAGAACAACACTACAGATTTCGAATAAGTGGGCGTACCTAAACACTCGCTCACACAAACAATTAAAGGGTTTCAATGTCTTTGTTAACCAGTCTGTTCTCGCCGAAGGCTATCGATTATTACCGAGTGACTTTCATTCATAAATTTATCATGTAAACACCCAATGGAAACACCCGGATTGTAACCTCAATGGAAACACCCGAACAGTTTTGCGCGAGCTTAGGTGGGCGAGACATGTTCAATTCGATTCATACACGCCTGCAATGCCTGGCTGAGCTAAGGTTACAATCCAATATCTCAGCCTAAGAGTGTTATAGAGACAAGTGGTTTGTCTTATTTTAGAGAGAAAAAATGCTATTTAATGCAATATTATCAACATAATTTTGTTATAAAATAGCAATATTTTCCCGTTTTCTTGTTATACTCTATGTATTATTGGTTCTATTAATTATTCATGTATAGATTATGTTTGTAATTATTATGTATGTATTAAAATATTCATAATTGACAATGCTTTGTTAGCTCTTGTAAACCCGTGAATTCCATGCCCTAGAATAAGATACCAATTCCCCATTTAAATGGCACAATACCAATTTTACCTTTGGATCGAAAACTAACAGTTACCCATTAAATAGGATACTACCAATCTTATATGTAAGTGACTACTAGTTCGTTATTCACACGAGAGGCTATACTGATCTCACTTTTAAGTGACAGATTACTAGTCTTATGCATGAGAGGTTGCTAATCTCACATTTATATGATAACCTGTTTGTCTTCCATTGCTTGATCAGCAGCATTTGTAACTTACATTTGCTAAATTCTGTAGATGTGTGTTGTTTGCCGTGCGTGACTATGCTGGCTCGGCGCATCTATGAGCCATACCGGGGTGACATGAGCCAGTACGGCATCCAGGAAGAGGGCCTGCTCATGATACAGCTAGCTAACATCAGACTGCAGAGAGAAGAGATCGTGGATTGCGTTCGCATGCTGGGGGAGTCTGTGCCAAAACTGTTTGCATATGCGCACGAGGTGAGGCAATATCGCACACGTTTTTGGCATCCGATAGTTTCTGGCAAAAACCGTATTTATAATCCATATATCTGTATCATTCTGGTAAAAACAAGGTCTCATTCGTACACTCGTCATACCCAGTTTGTGGGCTAATATGTGTGAAACTGCAGGATTGTTTCAAAAACTTATTAGTATTAAAATTTACTGCATTAAAGTTTGTTAGTATTTGTTGTATAGTGGAAAGCAGAGGAATTCAATTGTTATTAGATATCACAATAGACCAGATGGAGTTTGGACCAGATTTATCAAGTGCCGTCCTTTTGGTGATTGTAGCAGTAAATGTTTCTCGTTGTAGGCATCAGAAAGATGTCTTACTTACACCAGTGGTTGTGGCTTTCCAGCTCTTGTTCAGGCTCTGAAGGTGAAGTAGATTTTGAAATTGATTCTAACATTGTTGATATGCCATTTTCAAACTGATGGTGATCTACTTTTATTTCAATCATGGTTAAATAATAAGAATAAAATAAATTTGAAATTATTTACCCATGATTTCAATCAATGGTATTTAAATGATAGTGACTTGATTACATATGGTAATAGGCAAAGGTTGAGCAGCTTTATGTTTCTATGCACACTTTCGTGGTGAGAATCACAGTCTTACATTCTTGCACAGCTGATGAGGCTTGTTCTAGATTATTTCCAAGTGTGCAGATAATTATCTAACCTACCTTGCTCGCTTGTCTCCGCCAAGTAGTTATAGTAACCATTGATAATGTTCTTAGTTTTAATGATTGTAATGTTTGTCATTTCTTAAAAAAATAAAAAAACATGTTCAACCTCAACTAATATCTGAAACATTAATTGCCAACTGCATTTATCTCCTGCTCACCCTCTTATAGAGTTTATGCTCCATGGATGAGTTAATAACAGCATATGTGTTTTGCTCCTGTAATGTTATGCACAGGCCTTCTTTGCTTCATACCACCATGAGTTCAATAGAATTCTGAAGATGGTAAAGGGTCAAGACAAGTCGAATGAGGACGACAATTGGTCCCTGTACCAGCAAGCACTGCGCATCATCCAAGTCTGTGGTAATGATTTGATTAAGAATGTTTGCGTAATGTCTATGTGAACGGTGATCAAGACCTGATAATTATTAATTTTTTCAGTTTAATTATTATAATTAAATACACATTTTTAAATCTGTATCGCTCCCATATGTTTGTTTATATCACTTGCAAGATGTAATTAAGCAAATTATTTATGATTTCTACAGGTGAGTTGCTCTTGCACGTCGAAGATTTTGACAAAACGTTAAGAGAGCAGCTGCTATCTGTAGCAACTAAGTTTACCCCAGTAGCTGACGACATTCCCCTGGAGCTAGAGCATGGGTAAAGCATTATAGATACATAGGGTTTTCTCTGATCTGTCAATCCAGCTTCACATAACCTTGGTACGTCAATCACCATTATCAATAGACATGCACGTTTACTGTGTTACCATGACATGAACTTTGTAAATTTGGCGTTGATGTTTTGCTGTGTCCATCTCACTCATTACTGTTTCTGTATTTTTTTGCCATAGAACTGACACTCGTGGTAATCCTTTTATGTTGATGGACCAGCTGTTACTAGATAGACAAGCAGATAGAATGGCTCTATATGAGCTGATCAACCACTGTAAGAAACACAAGGGTAAGTGTCCTGATACAAAAGGTAGGTATGCTGTGGCAAAAGCATATTGTTACCTGGACTGCCACGTGATGCAGAACCTGGGGCCCATTGCCAGAAACAAAACTAGGCTTAGCATTAGTTTTAACATTAACCTCGACTCGTAGACCATTGACGGAAATATCCTAAAGTTGTGTGAACGAAAAATCGTCGGAATATTCCTCTTTACATTACGAGAGCCTAGACCCTCTCGTAACTTTATGATTAAAGGAATAATAGGTTCATTGATTATGCAATGTGGACGAATGCTAGAGTAACTGGCACCTTGTGTAGTTAATAAGTACATTACCTTATAGCCAAACGCGTATTAGTTTGTCCAATATCACTGCTGGTTACTAAGAAATGTCTAATATCAGTTGTTTCCAGTTTCAAACCGCTGCCGGCAAAGCGGGTGTGATACAGAGTTGTAGTGCACCGGACATTTTCGGACCCATGCTCGGCCATACGCAATGCTATCATCAGTGATTTCCTAAACATGGACGCTCGTGATAAGGAACTTTTTGTCCGGGCTGTCCACGTGCGTCCGTGATTAGTACGTGTGTTTTACTCTATTTCCATGTTTAGTTCGTGGCCGTGGTTACACCGCCGACACCTCCGTTTTATCTGGCGTCCAAAACATACGGGCCGCACAAATGTTTACGTCATCGCTTGACTCCTGGACGTGATGCGGCCATGATGCCGAGGCGCGCCAAAGATTGACACTTTGTGTCTTCCAATCACAGCCTACGCCGCACATGTGTTGATATATTTTTAAGGCAGGACCCATATCAGTACCAAATTGCCGATCTCACAAACTAGGGCATTCTGCTAGGCTAGAACGGTTTCCTATGATAGAGTTTGGCACAAAAACGAAAATAACACGCTGTTTAGCACACTGCGCTACTTCCTTCTGTTGCATTTTCGCATCTCCGTAATCGGAATAAGCCCCGCCTTCTTCGTTGATGGACACTGAATGGGGCATCAACGACGTGACCTGTTACTACGTGTAGCTGTTTGGCGAGACTTTTTGCATTTTGCATCGAAGTGGAAAAATTCGGCATTTTTACTCGCTTTCGGAAGTGAACGAGTGCGTCATTCATTGAACATTGAAGTTTTTCTTAAAATGCAAGAATTTTGAAAATCGCTGACCGCGCTACTCGATTGTTTTAGCCAATGAACGTAGCTGTGTGTGTGACGTCTTGCCCGCGCGCTTTATGCTTGGCTTAGCGGCCTTGAAATGGATATCGGAGGCAGGCACCTCGCAACACGCCTGTTTGTTTACATATAGCTTTGTGGACATTTTCTTTGGGGTTCCGAAAAACACAATTCTACTTGACAATTTCATGGGCCATTTCAATTGGAGGCTCTGCATAATGGACCCCCAACAAGCCCTTTGACTGACTAGTCAAAAAATTGAAAGGTGTGTATATTGCTCAGCTCTTATTTAGCCGCCGATAGTTCTTATTTAGAACAAAGTCTTCATTGTTATCTTCTAAAACTACAGACCATCCGCTGACCGCTGTGGAGACGTGCGCCGGGCCTCGAATTTGGCGCACGTCTCCACTGCGGACAGCGCTTCATACTTGAACATCCCCGCAGTCGCGTGCGCATATCCTGCGGAACTGCGCGTCTCATCCGCGCGCAGCGCTCAGGATCCACAGCAAAGCTGTGCCACGCAATCTTGTATCATGTCTCTCTGGATGACATTTACGGCACGTAAATGATACGTTGATACATATCAACAACCGATTTCAGGTCTCGTTTGTAATGTAACCAGCAGTGATATTGGACAAACTAATACGCATTTGGCTATAAGGTAATGTACTTATTAACTACACAAGGTGCCAGTTACTCTAGCATTCGTCAACATTGCATAATCAATGGACCTATTATTCCTTTAAGATGATCATAACCCATTTACACAAACAATTGCAATTATAGTGATATCATATTTTATAGTAATTAGTCGAGCGTATGCTTTCCATTGAAAACACATCATAAACATTACTTATCTAGCAATCGCATACCAAAACAAATGTACAAATGGCATTTGTTCTCTTGTTTTGGATATTTTGATGAGTCACGACTCTCGTGTCGTGTGTTACCGTGTGCAGAATCATGTCTTGCAGCGCAGAATAAATTCACGACCGCGTCATTTTTCATTGGATAGTATTTATATGTGGTTATACCCATCATAATATGCATAAATTTCTGTGATGTACAATAAATGTGTATGAATTTGAATTTTGTGATCGATTCTCATGATATCCAATCAGCAGCATTGTGACATAAAATTATGAAGTTCCTGTTATTGTTTTCTCATAGCTGCGATGCGTTTCTATCAACGCTTTTCTCGTAGCATTAACATTAGTCATAAGTGTTATCTTAGCATTAACATTAGCATTAACTTTACGATGTTTCTGACAATGGCCCCCTGTTTTGTAATGCATGTTATATTTTAGGAAAAAATATTTTACAAATTTTGTGAAATTGGATATGGCACAATACTATAAAACATTGATATATCATAGTTATCGTCGCATCCATGTAAATGATGTTGTAACTGTGGGTGAAGTGAAATTTGAACTGATTTGCTATTTTAACTTGCTCCTGATTTTCAATTGTGGTTTAACATGCACTGCTGTGTTATTTTAATGTCTCAACGCACATCTATCGTGCGTGCGTGCGTGCGTGCGTACATGTCTGTGTGTCTGATTGTGAGAGTTCGTGTTTCTAATGGTGTTCTGCAGATGAGATATGCCTGCTCTATGACACACAGACGAACGTTCGCACCCTCTGTGAAGATGTACATCGATTCGCCTTCAACGTGGTGTTCTCACAGATAGAAAATCACCTGCAGGACATGCATAGCATGAAGGTATTGAGTATTGCGTGTTCATCACGTGTCTTGGAGGTTGGCATACAGGGAAGGCGTACCTGTCTGTATGTGCATTCCAGATCAGGGATGTAGGCGGCGATTCCTTAATTGTATTTTCGTGTGGCACAGAGCATGAAGATAGACAGAGGTGCGCTACATGAAATGTAGGCAGCAGTCATTTTCTGTCTGTACGTGTTCTGTAGAGCATGGAGGTAGACAGAGATGACTTACTAGTCTGTGAATGTAGTACAGCTTGTAGGTAGGGAGTTTTTTTTTTACCTGTCATGCATAATGCATATGGCGCAGAGCATGTAGGTAGGAAGTGATTGCTTTACCTGTATGTGCATATCGCACGGACAGCCACATATTGCAACCACTGCGATGGCTCAATGGTTGAGGGCTCGCCTCGTATGTGGAAGGTCGGGGGTTCAACTCCCGGCCGGGTCATACCAAAGACTTGAAAAATGGTACACACGGCTTCTCTGCTTAGCATTCAGCAAATAGAGATAGAGTGTGGCAAGTTAACTCGCAGTGCTACAGTGGACTAACCCCCTACTGTAGCATTTACTGTGAAAGCAGCTGCGGGGCCTCAGGGTTACAGAAACGGAGATAGGCACTGCCCTATGCGCCTGTAGCTATACGCTATGCGTATGAAGGCGCGGGAAGGATTTAACTTTTAATGCATATGGCGCAGAGCATGTAGGTAGGAAGTGATTGCTTTACCTGTCTGTGCATATCGCATGGAACATGTAGGTAGACAGAGTTGTCTTACCTGTGTGTAAATGAAGCACAGCATGTAGGTAGACAGAGTTGTCTTACCTGTGTGTAAATGAAGCACAGCATGTAGGTAGGCAGGGATGTCTTACGTGTGTGTAAATGTAGCACAGCATGTAAGTAGACAGGGATGGATTACCTATGTGTAAATGGGTTACAGCCCTATAGACCGAAGGTCCGATAGATCGAAGGCCCGATAGACCGAAGGTTTATTCGAATACGCAGTGGCTACACGTCCGGAATCGGTCGCCTAGCCTCCAGGCTACGCATCCGGGCATCCGGACATCCACTGATGCCGTATTCGAACGTGAATATGCCGCACATCCACCGATGCCACTATAAATCATATGATGCCACTATAAACCATATATATGCCCTAACCCTAACCCTAACCCTAAACCTAACCCTAACCCTAACCCTGGTGGGGGCGGCAGCTGGCGTCAAGGACATTCACACTCGGTCGCGAGCCCGCTGTTAATTTCGTCGCGAGCTAGGTGGTCATCACTACCAGAATGTGCCGCCTGATCGTTGTTGGTTTTACCTACGGTTGGGAATGTGTCTCTGATCATGCCTAGGCGAATGCAAGCTTCTCTGCTGATGAAGCGTTTGTCTGAGTTATCAGTGATGTACGTAACTTGGCGTGTCTCAAGCGTATTGCCAGATGCGTCCTTGCCAGAAAAACGTAGGATTGCTGCGCCCAAGATGTTGATGCCTTTGTTGTTGGCTGCATTCATCCGCAATGTCACTTTGATGAGGTCGGCCTTACTTAGACCGAGCCGATTGATGACCTTGATACTCGCCAGGCAACTTTGGCAACCAGTGTCAGCCATTGAAGGAATGACGACCGACCTGGGTGTGGATGTGGGCTTGAGACCAAGACGTTTGTAGTCTTCAGGGTGTGCTCCCACTGTGAGGTTAATGAACGGCTGAGGTTTGGACTTTTGCTTTATCCAAATGTCTGATAGTTGGTTGTAAAGGTGGTGGTCGACAGTTATATTTCCACCGTTGTGTCGAGCAGGAGTAGTGATTGTGCACAATTGGTCGAATACCGCACCTTCGTGTTCATCAAATGACTGCCATTGTCTTGTACTTAGCCTTGTTCCTGCCTCTGCACATGCTGTCAAAGTGGTGGTTCTTGTCATAGTGTTGGCATGTGTGGCCATACGCAGGGCATTCCTTCTGTCTAACCTTGGCGAGGTTACGGACTCCGTGGCCTTTTTTACCGCAGTATGAGCACAATTCTGACTTGTCAATTTTCGTATTGTCATACCTACTGCGATCATTTAGAGAATCGTTCATGCCACGTTTATAAGAGCTGCTGACTGCTTCGGCACCATTAGTGTGTGGGTCGATGAGACGCGAAGCGGAGCGTATGCCCGATTCTTTCGCCTCAACAAATTGAAACACCTCTTCAAGGGTCATTTCCTGGTTCTTGTCCCCGAGTAGGTCAAGTTGTATTTCGGTGTCGTGTCAACACATCACGGAGTACAGCCTCTGTGTAGTTCACGTCGTCTGAACAACCAGGACACGTCATGATGAACTTGCATACCCCAGCTTGACCACGGAGGCGAGCGCCGAATGAACGGATTGGTTCGTCGCGGTCCTGGCGCATGTTATGCAGGGTAACCCATGCAACCATGGTGTTTTCTTTCCTTACAGCGAGTGTTTTAATGTCTTTCAATACGTCGCTTTCAGATTTGTTTGCCAACGTGCCACTGGCATTGCGTGTGAGGTCTTTCCTTAAGGGTTCATCACAACACTCCAGTAATTGGATCACCTTGTCCTTGCCTGACACTTTAGTCGCTGCGACATAGTCATTCCATCGCGATATGAAGTAGGACCAGTCTTCGCTGGTGCCGGCGGAAGATATCGTTGGTCGTTTCACCCTTTCCATCTTCGCAGTGGCGACACTGTGGGTGGTCGCATTATGGATGGTGGTGTGAGTCGTTATGAGAGCTGCTGCCACGATTGCGTCGACGTCCGGGGTGGCGTATTCGCACTCGTCGATGGTGCAGTCAATAACCGGCATCGTGTTGTGAGTTCAGGGAGTTGTCAAGCGATAGAAGCGGCTTCACCAGTCAATGAGTCCCATCATAGATAGGAACACGTCCATTTCGTAAATCAGTCTTTATTCAATACAGATTACAAATGATGGGACTCAATCTAAAACCAATAGAAAAGAGAGTTACATTGTGGTATATTATTGTCTAATTTCTGGTCCAGAAGAACCTGTAACCTTTTTCTTTTTTTAGTGAGGCACTGAGAATAGTCGTCTTCTGTTTTCTGTTAGACTCTCATTGATAAATATTTTGTCTGTGGAGGTGAAGCCAATTTCATCAAGTGCCAGTGCAAGTTTTATATGTTCATATATTTTGTCTCTCAAGTTTCGAGTTGTGAATTTTACAATGATTGATGGTGGGCTCGTAGAGATGTGTTTTTGTAGTCTGTGTAAGACGCTGATGTCTTTCGGTTTGATTCTAATATTCATGGCACTAGTCACATCAATTATTAGCGCATGGGTGCTTTCTACACTATTGGAGGGGATTCCTGTGAAAATTAGGGTCTCCCTCTCATGCTGGTCTAGTGCGTCAATAGCCATAGAGTTAGTACTAGCGATGTGCTCCAGTTTCGAGACGGTAATTAGCTTAAGTACCTTGTTTTCATCAATTATACTATCATACTTCTTAGCCAAGAAGTCCTGGCTTTTTTCCAGGTGAGCGACAGTTCTGTTGATCCTCTTAAGTTCTTGCGTGAGGGGGCTAACTTATCTTGAATGACTGCCTCAGTGGGTTGACTGACCTTATTGATGATCGTTCCTTCCATCTCATTTAGCATGATACGGTGTGTATCAGACTGGATGTCGTCGTCAGCCACAGAGGTTGGAATCCTTAGTAGGTCTTCCTTTGATAGTTTTTTTTGTTGGGAGGTGCTCATCTTTCGAAAACTGTTGATGTCCGCCATCTTTGTTGTTGTGAAGTTATGGCGGGAATTTTAATCAGTGCAGCAAATCAGAATTCGTGTAGATCTCTTGGTGATGATAAATCTTGCCTCTTTTTCTGTGTAGTGTGTCCAATCACTGAGAGTCTAGCCCAGCTTTGTTGCCTCTTAGCGAACTAGCTTACTTCCAAAGATCACAATAATATCAATATCAATATAAATCAATCAGTAGTGGTGGCCGAGCTTCAGTCGAATTCCGCTTCAGTAGGTACACAGCTGAGCAAACGTTGTGCTGCATTAACAGTTCTTTTCTGTGATAACACATATTATACTTTATGGTTCGATGTTTACTCCGTACTAAATTGTGAAATTTGTTTAAATCGTATGTTATCTACATTACTTATGCAATCAGGAGACAAATATATAGTTTTTGTTCCAGGAACTATATGCGCTAGTGTAGCCCATAGGGTCTATGTCCCCCAGGGTACTACCGGAACGTACCCTGGGTACGGTCCAGTATACCGGAAGGTACCCTGGTCACTATTTGATATGGTTAGGGTTAGGGAGTAGGCGTAGGCAACTCCCTAGACTCGTTAGTGGAGTAGGCGAGGTACGGTTCGGCATATTAGATAGTACCAGGGTACGTTCCGGCAGTACCCCAGGGGACATAGACCATCTCAGCGCTAGTGTAGGCCTACTGTTGTCTCTTCACTCCCAAACAACTTCTGTCTGTCTATATGCCGAAACAGCCTCCGACGCGGTTTCGAGAATCCCAATGTTTGGAGCACATTTCTGGCTCAATAAGAACATTTCGTGATGTTTGCATACTGCAGTTATACTCATCGTAGGTGTATGTAGCCTAGGCTTTTTGTTTGCGAGGTTTATCCACTTTAAACAGTGTATAGGGCAAGCTAAAATATTTAATGAAGCATGTAATTCTTTTTAAATTGAATTCTTTCTATTATTTTATAAACACCATCTCAGTATCGCGTAGATATCCTAGGCTGTTGTAGAAATCTGGGTCAAATTATTTGGTGTGCTTGTATTGCAGCCAAAATTGTTACCGCAAAAAAATCAAGAGTACTGATTGACTGGTGCGTGTCGTTACAGCACATGTATTGTAGCACTGTGTATGGAACACATGTGAGCAGAGCTGTTGATTACATGTCAGTCTTTAGCACATGCAGATCGAACGTATTGGTGTGTTTTAGCCACAGAAATATTTATATAGTAACTGATTGTTTACTATACATGAGTATGGCTTTGACATACTCATAATGCGTTATGAAAGTATTGGAATACATATTATAACAGTAAAATAACATTCGAATTCTACCATTCATGTCGACTGACTCGTCCTGTCTATGTATGGTAATACGTATTGTATCGTGCCCTACGTATCAAGATATATGTATCGTTTCGTGACCCTAGTGTATCGTTACAACTCCATAATCAACAATTTACAATTTCATCTGTATGATGTCAGCCATCAGTTGTACAGATGAGCACTGGAGTGAATTTGTTGTATTATTTTAGGCATGGCAGTTGGATAAAGCAGGTGGCGCACTGATGGTAGACTTGCCATCATTTGGACTGTCACCACAAGAGTATATTACAAAGGTGTGTTATATGTGCATAGAATTATATACATAGTGACAATGACAATTTACTTGTTATGTGGTAGTTTTTAATGTCAAGTGATTAATCGATTGGAAATCTGAGAAAGCTTGGAATGCTTTCATCACATGTGTTGAAAGTTTAAAATAAGTGATGTGTTTATCACGGGTGTTTAAATTTGTTCCTAATATGCAGCAACCCTAGCATAGTGATAACAAGCGGGTGTGAAAACAAACTGTCAACTAGCTGATTGTTTAACGTTGTGTAGATTGGTCAGTACCTGATGACGCTACCGCAGCACATAGAGCCGTTCATCATTGGTGACAACGCTGCCCTTCTTGCAGCCCTGCAGCATGCACGTCTGCCATACACCGATGGCAAAGGTAGGTGACGATGCAGTACTGCCCAAAGATCGTATAGTGCCGGAGGCACAAGATAAACCACTCATGCGAAATCACGTGCAATGACGTGTAGTACGCAATGGAGCGCCACATCCGCCATTTTAGGAAGCAAAACCCGCTCCGTGTCTGTTTGATACATAGAAATAATATGGATAACCATGGTTAATATATATATATATATATATTATAATATAATGTAATAGATAATATTTTTATGCCAATAGCTGTATCAAATCTCTCATTCAGTGTACAAAAATCTAACAATGATTCATAATCGGATGTTACCTAAGTAGTATGTACACAGTGCAGTGGTTGTAGTGTCAGACAGTGGTACAGTGCACAGGCACTTCATTGACCGTCTCAAACAAATAATGGTAAATAAACACTAAATGCATCTACTATCAAAGTATTAATGTTTCTCTACTCTATTTCGCCTATTATTGTCGATAACTTGCTGTAAATGCCGTTTAAATGCTCATCTGCAACACACAAGTAGTGAAGTACACCGCACGTACGCCCTGTGCACAAACAACACTGCCACTGGTACTACATGTATCAACAAAGATTGCACAACTCTTTCACGATGGATTTCGACAAAAAAGAATTGTTTTCTCACCTTTCCGTATTCGTGGGAACTGAAGAAAGACAGCTCGGGCTTACACTGACGATTCGAGCAATTACAGGCAGAACAGTAAGCTGAGCTGACAGCCACAGCAGCAGACAGTTGCACAGTAGCAGATACAGCCAGCATCGGGAACTTCGTGTGAACTTGCTTCCTAAAATGGCCGTTGTGGCGCGACCCATGACCTCTACGCTATGATTGGAGAGTGGTTTATCTTGTGCCTCCGGCACTATACGATCTTTGGTACTGCCTATTGTCTCAGCGCTGCTACTGCTCTTGCGAGGAAAGCGTAGGAATTACTGAATATTTTAAAGCATACATTACTCTAGGTTCTATGGATATTTTTAGTTAAAATAGGTTAGAATTACGACATAAAAAGTTACAAAATCATTTAACATTCATCAGAATTTTTGTTAAATGTTTTATAACTGACAGCTATACTGTTGCTTACAACGACGGTGGCGCCACTGGGAGCACAACCACTGAAAAAGTTGTACAAAGCAACGTTCCGGCTGCATGCTACAGACCGAGGGTGTTTCTTATTTATTAATTTAGCAGGAGAACGATTGCAATATCTTATTAACTACACTTAGTTTCAGTTAAAATATGGAAGAATTTGTCCTAAAATAAAAATCGTTCAGCTAAATAGCAGTTAGGTACCATAACTGCACTTTTGTTATTAGCCCTCGGTCTGCAACGTGCAAAATAAATAAGCAAATGTGCAACTTTTTCAGGGTGGCAGCGCAATCGCGCGGTGTCATGTTAGCGGTCAAAATAAAAGATTTCAAAATTCACTGTTGTTTTAAGACAAACGTGAATGCGTGATTATAGAAATTTGTAGGTATATGCTATTATTTATGCACTTACTATCATATTATACTCTAAAATTCTAGGGGAACGTATCCCTATTTTAAACAGACGGGAACATTTAGTGATGCACTCATCGAGAAAGTTATGTAATAAACTGTTAGAATTGCTAGTTATTTAGATTGACTGAAACTTTAATGAATCACTCTCCGAGAAAGTTATAGCAGTATTGTATTTTAGCAACAGAGGGGTACCAGAAAAATATATAGATTGTGTGCTTATTGGAGCCTTAATGTTGCATTGTTTACTTGCACACTCAGCATAGGTAGCTATAGTGGAATTGCTCAATTAAATCTTTTCAAACTGGCATCCTGTGGAAATATTACGAATATGGTGCATTACAGGAGGTCATGTATGCCTCAGAATACTACGTACTACTGTAGTGGCCCTAGGGGTAGCCGACTACGGTACGACAAGCGTTATATAGTTAACGCGTGTCCTAGTTGTTTGGATTCAGTGTTCGCTCCTGCCGTTATATTAGGCAGGACGGTGACATGATGCCCGTAGCAAATAACAGGTAGTACCAGTGGAACAGAACACAGTTAGATTTGGTTAACTGTACGGTTATAGTTTTATTGCTTCCTACTAGTTTCCAAATAATTCACCTGCATTCGTATATGCAGTGGATCCTATAACCACTAGACTACGATTAAAGTATTAACGCGTCGCCGGTTCCGTCTTCCCCTCTCACGTTCGTCCTCGCTTCGCGTAGACATAGGCAGCCTTCACGGGTGTCTCCCTCGTAGTCGCTCCTGGCTCTACCTAACTGAAATCCCGTTCTTCTCCACCTGTAGTGAAAGATCCCGGCTGAGCCCTCATTTTCCCTGTAGTCTTCTTTCCTTCCTGAAAACCTGTGCTTCTCGTCTCTCTGTTATCTCTCTCCTCGAGACCTAAAATGCTTTCTCCCTCTTTCTCTTCTTCTTCTTCTTCTTCTTCTTCTTCCTACCTAGACCTGAAAAATAACGCTCTCTTCCTCTTTCTCTTCTTCTTCCTACCTAGCCTGAAAAATAACGCTCAAGCTCTGCGATTCGACGCATCTTATATACCTAGCTGGCCCCGCCTCCTACGTGCCGTTGTTTAGCATGCGTTGCCAAAACACACTCAGATTTCGTTCGCTGGTGCAATCGCTTACACCTGCTGATGCAACCCGTGGCTGGTACGATGATTGCATCATGTTATCAGGAGTAGATAATAGAATCTTCTATTATCTACTCCTGATCTTATGCAACTCGTTTCTAAGTAAATATTCCTCTCTTCGACAACTTAGACTATTCATTCTATTCAGATCTCCTCATATATTATGTTGACCACTAGTACATCACCGCGTTGATTATTATATCCTATTTATCGCGTTATCGCTTTTTGCGTACACTCCTTGTTTTCCCCGACCATGTGGTAGATTCATCAAGCTGCATACGCAAAATATTTTGCGTAAATCTTGTCAATGTGTACGCAATCGACGTTGCTTAGTTGCGATTCATCAACACAGCTATTTAGTAAATTTGCGTACGATTTCGCGTACGCAAGCGACACCGTTTTAGGTGCGATTCATCAAGCTAAAATTTACGTAAACCTTTGCGTAACTCTACACGAGCTGACGAGGTGCCGTAAACCACTCGAAATTTCCGCAGGTGTTTCCAGCATACCGCAGCATGCATTATTTTATTGAGAAAACATTATAAAATTACTACTTAACTAAAAATAAAGAAATAATTACCATACTAGACAGACAGGCGGCGCCTTTGACGCTTCTTTTGTCATAGCTTGGCATTGTTTTCGTTATAAGCGAGTTCGTAGTTAGCCGTGTACGTGCACACGCACCCCACGTGTACGTGCACACGCACGCACGCACGCACGTGTACGTGCACACGCACGCACGCACACGTGCACAATCACGCACGCACGTGTAGGGGCCTACGTGCACACGCACGCACGTGTACGTGCACACGCACGCACGCCCGTGTATGTACACACGCACGCACGCACACGTGCACATGCACGCACGCACGCACGTGTACGTACACACGCACGTGTACGTGCACACGCACGCACCTACGCCCGTGTACGTACGCACGCACGCACGTGTACGTGACACGCACGCACACACGCACAAACGCACGCACGTGTACGTACGCACGCACGCACGTGTACGTGCACACGCACGCACGCACGTGTACGTGCACACACACGCACGCACACGTGCACATGCACGCACGCACGCACGTGTACGTGCACACGCACGCACGCACGTGTACGTGCACACACACGCACGCACACGTGCACATGCACGCACGTACGCACGTACGCACGTGTACGTACACACGCACGCACGCACGTGTACGTGACACGCACGCACACACGCACGTACGCACGTGTACGTACACACGCACGCACGCACGTGTACGTGTCGCTGCTTTCATGAGTGTTGAACGCAATTATACAAACGAAAATATGGACATTATCACATCCTCCAGCACTCATTTAGACAGAGCTAGACGAGCCATATGGTTTAAATACAAGATAGACGTCAGTTTGGTTCCTATCGGTATGTGTCGCACAGTGTGATTGGTTTATGCTAGGCATGCCTCTCAACAGACAGCAGCCACGATGGCGTAGTGGATTTACACTGGAATTCATCAACATTTGCGTACGCAGGTGCTACGCTGCGTTGATGAATCACACCTACGAGCTTTGCGTACGTACTTCGTAGAAACTCGGTGTACGCAATACACTTTACGCAACGTTGATGAATCCGGCCCCAGAGCAGTATGATCCAAGATGGCTGCGCCCATGGACGTGCGCGCTTTCTATGTGCTGTCTATATTTTATCCTCTCTTTAGTCAATATATGGCTATTCCATCTATACTGTGAGTTCAATCTATCCATCCTGATCTAGTCTACTGCTCCTGTGAGTTACACACCCCCGAAATCTCTACACTACTTACCCTTGGCAATTCCTTCTTAACCCTAAGCCATACTTGTGACAGGGTTCAATAATCATGCATTTGCACTTTTTAAATAAGTAGGTTAACGTTATAGGATATATAGCAATATAAATGCTATAATAAAAGCTAGCTGTAGCATGCCAACTGTAAAGCTATACCAGGAATAGCATCCCTGTATTGGAGGTTGTAAAGACCAAAATACTGGACGGACTTGCGGCCCTGGTTTTTGCGCGCCCCAACGCGAATACGCCGCCCCCTTTTTGTCCCTTTAGACAGATATCTGAGACAGGGGTCTGAAAACGCACTCTGCGAAAACTAGGCGCAATCCAACCGACATTTCGGGATGGACGGCTTGAGGCCATCTCCAAACGGCCCCTAAACTTTTTTTGGGGTGGCGCGCCTCATGGCTAAGACGTAGTGGCTCCTACAAGAAATGCTGTCAATCAGCAATAACGCGCTCGCTCATTGGCCTGCGCTTCTGCCGAGTATAGCGTTACGTCTATCACAGAGGTTTTAACGAAGACGTGTACGGCGCTCCACGTGGGTTGGCGCGGTCTAGATGCTACCCTTACAAAAATTTAAGCAATCTACAAGCAATCCTCAAGCGATCAACGAGTGCTTCAAATAAGCTCTCAATGGTGCAGAGGATCGCTTATCTGATTGCTTATTAAGCAATCAGGACTGATCATTGATTGCTTAATAAGCAATCAGGACCAATCATCGATTGCTTGGGACCGATCGTCGATGGCATAATAAGCAATCGGGACCGATCTTCGATTGCTTAATGAGCCATCGGGTACCGATCATCGATTGCTTACCCGATCAGTCCCGATTGCTTATTAAGCATCAACATCATTTAAGCTATCCTCTGCACCATTGAGCGCTTATTTTAAGCAATCATTGATCGCTTGATCAGTCCTAAGAGATCGACGATTGCTTATTCATCATGACGAAATCCAGGTGCTCTCAGGACCATCGCTGATCATTTAAGCAATCAATGATTGCTTTAAGCAATCGCTGATTACTTGAAAATGGCTTGACTTCTCCCTAACACTAACTATAAACAGACTCGGCTTATATACGTGTATAAAAACAGATAAAACAATCTATGGTGTATAACCTTTTGCTTTCAATATTTTGCGTCTGAACTAACAATCAATCCCAAACAACTAGTGTAGGCTAGCTAATTAATTAATTAATAATTAAATAATTAATATTAATTATTAGGCTGGAGATTAATTAATCGTGAATTAATTTCCAACGGCATTATTTTGTGGGAAAGCGACGCATAGACTACCGTACCCGTAGCCTCGAGACATTAAGGTACGGCTACCGTACTCGTAGGCTTGATTTTTTTCGTAGGTCAATCAAGAACATGGGGCTGTAGTGAGCGCTGCTATTGGTTGAGCTTGTTTCGTTGATTTGCTATATATATTGATTATAAACATGCTGCCTATTAGAAGTTATATGCTTATACTGAAAATAGTGATACATGATATACAGAGATGCTACAGGGTGCTATAGCTTTCCCCCACCGACTACATCCCCCAGTTCTTTCGTTCCGCCTACTCATCCCAATCCACCACCTCTCCACTTCCCCCTCCTGCTCCACATCCCCCTTTTCGACCTTCCCTATATCTCTCACTCCTCCTCCTCCCCCTCCTTCACCTAGCTCGATCTCCATTACCCCCATTCCGCCTCCCCTTTTATGTACACGCGGCTGCCGAGTATATATAGCCGCCAATTCCCACAAATCTAGTAACGCCTTTTTGATAAAAAAAATATAATATAGTATTCTAGAGTTATAACTTTTATTCCACGCAGATTTGTTAGTGCAAGTTTATGCATGGCTAACGTTTATTGATGGTTGGCACAACGTTTACTTTTACAACCTCCAAACAGTACCTAACTTTCAGTACTGGTTTCTAATAGGTGCATATATATGTGCAGCAAACGTTTGTTTCTAATCATATAAAAACGTTAAATTATATGGTTAGTTTAACGCTCATGACTAACGTTTGTTAATTTGCATGGTTACGACAAAGTTTATAAATAACGTTTATTTTCACCACCTCGGAACCTTAGATAAACGTTCAGTATACTATAGTTTGTAATTAATAGGTGTGCAGCTAACGTTTGTTTCTAACCTATATATAACTTTATTTATAACGTTTGATGAACGCGCGCGTTCTTAGAAGGTTTAATTCAGGATCAGTCTCGATTGCTTGTCGATTGCTTAGGATCAGTCTCGATTGCTTGTCGATTGCTTAAGATCAGTCTCGATTGCTTGTCGATTGCTTATGATCAGTCTCGATTGCTTATGATCAGTCTCGATTGCTTGTCGATTGCTTAGGATCAGTCTCGATTGCTTGTCGATTGCTTATTAAGCAATCGACAAGCAATCGATGTGTTCGATCGCTTGTGGATTGCCTTAAATTTTTGTAAGGGTATCTATCTCCAAAAGCGCCTGGCTCCGTACGTGCGAGTTTTATCAACCTCATTGACCCGCGCTGCCTGTGGCGACGGCACGTCGTGCGAGCACGTGCTGGCGTGGCCGTGGCAGTTTTTACACGTAGCTAATCCTACAATTTGCCGCCACACTGACACACAAAATATATATATGCACATGTTTTTTACGAAGACCGCGGAGCGCGACATTCCAGCCTCCCTCCTCCTCGCCGCTCACGTCGGCGCCGGGCACGTCGAAATGCTATATCCAACAAACCTGGCTCGGGGAGTTTTTGCGCCGCCGGTGACTTTTCGTAGTAAATAGATTTGTATTTATTTAGCATTACATTTTATTGAAACGCTGCAAGTGCATGCTTGTGTGCCTGGCTGCGGAAGCATTGATGCATGTATATAGATACCTTATTAACCTGTGGCGGCGGAGCGAGCGAAGGAGAGAGAAGAGAGAGAGAGACAGACCGTGGGAGTGCCGAGAAAGAGAGAAAAGAGTGGGAGAACACCCAGATAAGGTACGAAAATACGGCAGTGGGACGGTACGACGGCGAGGATGTACAAACGCGTGTCATCAATCTATAATCGGAAAGCGCCCCCTCCAAAGCCGATGTCGCCGAGCGACCGTAACATGTCCCGAAAACTGCGCGATGTAGGCTGCCCGCTATACGCCATTCGCACCGCCCGCCTTCCTTCGCGCGCGCGAATTCGTATAGCGGGGAGCGCGAGATGCTACATACAACACCCCGCGGTCGCGTGGCCCAGTCCCCGCGGAAAGTGCGCGGCTCTTACCGCTTTCGGCGGTCGGGGAACAACGATCTTTTGCGCAACGCCATCTTGTACCCGGTCTCTCTGGATTGCGTGAGATTCAATGCTTGAGACTACGTGCAGTGTAACTTTTTGCATAAAGTATCAAATGTTTGTATTTATTAGGTCACATAGCAGATGTGTGGCTGGAGGTATTTGCGAATGCCACTCAGCAACATTATGTCGAGGCAATACTGAGAATTACTGAGCTGACTCCACATGCTATCAAGCAGCTCGTCACAGACGTTGGTAATTCTGTAGTTACAATTAATGATCATGTGAACAGTATGTGAGGTAAACAACCTTAGTACCACTGTGGGAAGAATAATATATGTCTCTATACAATTAATCTTAAAATTTGACAAATATTTAAACCAGCTTTATTAATATTTAGTTTAGTTCTATTAACATAAATTATTGACGTATTCCTTAAAGGGATCGTTTACTCTAGGTTCTATGGTTATTTTCAGTTAATTTATAGTGCTTAAAATTACGCTACCATAAAATGTTTCATGGTTCAATCATCATTAGAATATTTATTAAAAATCGTTTTAAAACTAACGACTAACAGTTTGATTTACAACCGACGGTGGCGCCACTTCAAAGCGCACGGATCTCGATGAGGTTTGCCACAAAAACCACTTTTCAGCCAAGGTACGTATACAGACCGAGGTGCTTTTTACTTATTTATTATTAAAACAAAGGGATTGTAAGGATATCTTATAAACGACATATAGTTTCCAGTTTATAAATGATAATTTGCCACTAAATGAATAATGTTCGATTAAAAGAATTTAGTATAAATATAATTGCAACTTTGTGAATGAGCCCTCGGGTCTGTAACGCGCAAAATAAATGGTCAAATACGCAACTTTTTCGGGGTGGCAGACTGGCAGCATGGTCGCGGGTGGCATATAGCACCATTCAAATTTCGTAGAGTTGATGTGTAATTAATTATATCAATTAAATTAGGTATCTGGTAACAAATACGTGTGGGTATAGACGATTTGTTATACAGTAAGTACAGTTGTATGCAGTAAAATCCTAGTCTACTATCCCTTGAATGATACAGTTATGGACAGGCACCTCTGTAAAAGGCATTGCAACATAACTGCTCACCAAATTTAATCAAACACATCTATTTAATAAAAGAGATGTCTCACGATGAAAATAATCATTAAAAAATTCATCGCTAATTATGTGACGGCAAAAATTGTAAATTTAAACCAAAAAATGTTTTTTTTTTGTATTTCTAAAAAACAGCAAAGAGTTGGGATCTAAACTTTTAGCCATAAGTTGTTTACATGCATGAGAACAGGTTAAGATGTTTTTGGAGGAAATATTTCAATTCGTGCTGAATGCAGGATAACAGTGTGCTTAGCACACTGTCCTGCTAGGGGGTCTGGAGCAGTGGCGTATCCAGCATAGGGCGGAGCCGGCATACGCCCCCCCCCCGTTTGCAGGCCCAGAAAAAAATCAATAAAACTTTAAAAAAAAACTTTAGTAGCAGTGGGTTAATGCTTCAGGGTTAACGTCAGACTGAACACCTTCCTGCTTCTGTTTGCTCCACAAGGACCTCCCTTTGCACATGGATAAGGTGGTCAACATGTTCATCAGAAGGAAGCCTCGAAGGTTGCTATTGGCAAACCCCATGGGCGCCGCTTAATGTCCCGAACACACAATCATGACCTGAACATCTCAGTGGCAATTATTAGTAGGCCTACTCCTCACCCTGACCTGTGTACCAATCAGTGCTAATCATCATCATGATCAAGTGTGTTTGCTTTTAGTGCCATTAAACATGATAAAGGACTTATCAAGTTATATGTTGTGTTGCAATAAGCCAGTTCGTAGTTAGCCAAGGGGTTGTGTGACGTCGCAGGTCACCGGGTCATTTGTGAAATCAATGAAATCTCGATACGAATACGAGTGCGGCATGCGCTCTCAATTCAGTACGTATATGTATATGTATTCTGTGTACGTGTACATGCACGCATGTGCACACGTTTGCACGCACGCACACACGTGTACGTGTACGTGCGCAAGCACACACGTGTACGTTCACACGCACCCACGCACGCACGTCTACGCACGCACGCACGCCCATGTATGTGCACATGCACGTGTACGTGCACACGCACGCGCGCACGGGTACGTGCACACGCCCGCGCGCACGGGTACGTGCACATGCTCGCACGCCCGCACGTGTACGTGCACGCACGCGCGCACGGGTACGTGCACACGCCCGCACGTGTACGTGCACGCACGCACGCACACCCGCAAGTGTACGGCACACGCACGCCCGCACGTGTACGTGCACACACGCGAAGACTGTAGCATTACAACGACACAGATGCATGCGTATGTAATGTGTACTGTGCGGTCGAAATACGAACTATTTTGTCACAAATGACCTGACCCGGAAGAATTCGTGGCAAAGTTCGCGCATGCGCAAGTTGTCAGTTACAGTCTGTAACTACGAACTGGCTTATTCTTACCTGTGTTTTAATACATGTATCATTACTATAGTAACCTAAACGCAGGTGTGTACGCTCTCTGAAAAGTCATGAAAAGTTTTAAATCCTAAATTGTAGGGTTGCGTCTAGGGTTGAGATAGCGTCATTAGACATCAGAATATGGCCCATAGTATGATAGTATGCCTCAGATTACAGGAAAATGGCTTAAATGTTTCAAAATGTTCTGGGGGAGCATGCCCCAGACCTGCCTGCAAGTTCATTCTGTTCTTAGTAAAAGACCAATTTTGTGACTAACAAACAACCCTTTGCTGTTTCTGAGAAATAAGAAACAAAAATTTGTATAAATTTACAATTTTTGCCGTCACGTAATTGCCAATGAATTTTGTTATGATAATTTTCATTGTAAGCGCAGAGAAACATCTCTTTTATTAAATAGATACAGGGGTAGAAATAAGGAAAAAAGAGATGGTCCACAGGACCATCTAGTTTGAAATTTAGATGGTCCTAAATTTGAAATTGTTCTCTAAAAGTAATGCGGCGTGCAAGCATAAGAAATAGATTTTACATGGTGATAAAATGGTTTAATTATTCACCTACAACAGTGATAGAGCTTTAAAATAAAAACCTCTTGCCAAATTGGGCGAGTGAGTCAATAAGTTAACTGGCCCAAATTTTAAAACAAAAATGCTTGTTCAAACAATAGTGACATTTTTTTTGAAAATTACACCTCTTAGATGCAATTTCCTGCACTCTGAGGCAGCATTATTAAACAATCTTCATCACAAAAATATCACTTTTGAGTTAAGTATTTTAATCTTTGGGGACACCAAAGACTAAAATACTTACCTAAAAAAAGAGAAACATAATAAACTTCAAATTGCTGAGGGTTGAACTGCTTAGTCTCTGCCAAGTTGTGCAAGTACAATGCTAAGGCAAAGTATAATGTGGTTAATAAGTTAATCTATCTGCCAACTGAATTAACACAGGCCTCAGCGCTTAATTATTTTCAGATCGGTACAAAATTTACTTGCAATCTATGAGCCGTTAAGGTCCTCTTTTGGTTCAGTGCATATCATATTACCAGGAGTGTATAATATAGAGATCTATATTATATAAATAGTTAGATTGGTAGATATATATATATATAGATTATGTATATAGAGATATATATCAATATTATACACTCCTGATATTATAATATATACATGGAAAATCGTAATGAAATTCACACAACGTTTATTAGCCTCACCTTGACATCGTCAAGATGTAGCTATTGCCATTGCCATACATGGGTCATCGTCCGTCGTACGTCGTCGGTCCTTCCGTCAACATTTGGCTACGGTCAACGATTACTCAGGAACCGTTTGACCCACATGTTTGAAATTGGGTATAGTTGTTATTGCTATGCTCCCATATTGAACGTCCTTTTTGGCAAAAATGGGGAATTGCCATTTAGTCGTTCAGGTTCAACGGATTTTGTCATTTTCGGTATGTGAATAAATAATGGGCCAGGGGTTTTGATATTTTAAAAATGCAAATTAGAGTAGGTTTTGGCAATTATATAGCATATTATGTTATAGACACGCAGATAACAGTCTGTGGTGTCACACTATACTGGTTCGTTTTACAAAGATTATTCATGGCTGACAATATCTTTATTGCAAATTGGTATTTCCTCTCACCCTGGCGATTAAAACGTTATTTAGAGTTAAAGTTTACAAAACATTGTCGGAACGCATGCATACGTATTTTATTTTCGACGCCAATCGCTAAGATAAATCAAATCGCGGATATACGCGCCATCTCCATCAAAATTGTTGATTCATTTTGGTTTATAAATTTTATGCCGATATGACAGATTCGGCAACCGTGTGCTACCGCCTAAGAAAACTCATACCGAAGTTAAACACTTCATGCAACCATTATACCTTTGACAAAGTTGTGTTATGGCAGGGAAACACCATCGTTCAGCTATGGATTTATAGCAAGCTACGCTGGTTATCTCTCAATTTACACGTGGGTACACGGGAGCCAATGCTGGTTTAGGCAAGTGCCTAAATTGAATATTATAAAACGTTAAATGGCGATCTATCTAGGTGTAACGCCATCACTCGCCCACATCTCGACTTTCAAATCTCCAAACATTTATTTTCACATTACACACGTGAAAATTACACATTAATTATTCAGAGTTTATAATGGGAGTTCTCCATATATCTCTTTCGTTTCTATTAATGTACGTCGAGTTGCCCTCTATTTTTCTACTTACCCCTGTCCTGTCAATTAAAAACTGACTTCTTCGTCACTTCACTCATTTGTGTCCTTTTTTCGTGTGTGAGCTACAGTGTCATTGACACTTTCATTTTTTGCGTGCCGCACGCTCATGTGTGTGTCATTTTCGATTGCAAGCCTCTTTTCTCCTCATCCAGGAAAGAATTTTGCTGTCGTCCTCTGACCGCGCGTGCACACCCTATAATGAACATGCCCGCATGCAACTTTTTAACAATCATGCCACTCCCCCCCCCCATACATAAATCATGTGCACATAATACATATGCAGCCCCATGCACGTTATACACAGCCACGCTGTGCTTGATGTTCGGCGACTTTGATAATATTAGTGAGCGATGCGTGCCGATAGCGCCCTTCACAATCGCTAGAACTGTTTATCATTAATGTTTGTGTATATAATGTAAGGAACCAACATTTGATTAAAGTATTAGACCCTTGCGATATGTGTTCGATTGAATTTGGTGAGCACTTATGTTGCAATGCCCTTTACAGAGGTACCTGTCCGGACCGTAACCCTGACTGTATCTTTAATTTTATATTGATTATAGTATTTTATATAAATATATAGTGATTTTATATAAAGGCATCACGTGATTCGTTTCATGTAGGTATTGTAATTTATAGCATTAGATGGTTAGAGTTATGGTAGGGACAAAGTTTGGGCTATAGATGAGAAATTGAGAATAGGGTTAGGGTTAAAGTTAGGATTATAAATAGGACTAGGGTTAGGAGCTAGGGTCAAAGTTAGGATTATCGATAGGACTAGGGTTATGGGGCTATGGTCAAAGTTAGGGTTGGGTTGATTCTGCATGAAATCCTGCAAAAAAAGAATGCTTGTGTTCTGCGCTTACATCGCAGATTACCTGACGAATGTCTTCGATGACCTTGGGTTGCATCCGACGGAGGAGCTGAAGAGCGTGCGCCACCTGCTGACTGTGAATGCGGATGCCTTTCTGCAGGGCGGGGACGAGCCGCATGCACAGCGACTCGTGGTCGCCATCAGTCGCATGAGGGGCATCATGCTCAGATAATCATGAAGACAAGTAGTGTCGATATTCCAGCGTAAAATTGTATATACTCCAGGCATGCAAAATGCCAAATGGGTGATGGATGGCTTAGTGCTCATGGGTTTGAATTTTTTGTTTAGTTTTAAATAATAATAAATAATGTTGATAAATGAGGTTCACACATTAAATTGTCTGCAGTTATTACGTTCTCGTCTGTTTCTGGTGCAATTTAAAAGCCCCAGTTTGTGAGGGGCTCAAATGCTGGCCCCAACCATCTTCACCCCGTTGGCTCAGCATTGGTCACATTTGTCGGTAATTGGCAGCAACAGTAGGGCCACTACCAGCTCACTATAAAAGATGGCTCGCTGGCCATTCAAACTATAATGTTGGGTGTACACTGTACTGCCTCTTCACAAATAAACATGCAACATCCAATATTCATGAATAGCAGTCAGATAAACCGTACGTCTTTATTGAACCAGTGTACATGTACCGTTGAACACTCAGTAATGTACAAATGTCCACTTGACCAAATGGTGAAAAACTACAACATAAAAATAGAGAATACTGTCAGTGATGGGGTGTACATGCTCCAGATACTTGCACATGAAACTAACTTCAGTTGCATCTATATGTACTATAAAGGAATATTGAAATGGAGTTCGGTGATCGTATAGTTAGTCTTGCGTTGTGTTTCTGACCGCAGGTTCTTTGTCGTGCTAGCTAAACAGCTACTTTGAGGAAAAGTCACGTACAGAATAAAAGATATGAAGAGTCGAAGTAGATGCTGACAAACTGAGATTTATTTCACTTATATATATCTCTCTATCTCGCTATGCTCGAGGCTGGTTCACATATATAAATGCCTCATTAATTATTCACATATCCGATGCTATATTCACATATAAAATGTAGCACATCATTATATATGCACACAAACAGCTGCGCTCATACACGTTAAAAGAGCACAGATTCGGTAGTTTCTACACCACACACACGTCGCGTAGTCTTGGCACGACTCACAAAACACACGTACACTAGCACAAAAGAAAGGAGTTACTGCCCACTTCCGGGCGTGCGCTCACTTATATAGGGCGGGTGCTCGTGACGTCATCTTAGGTGTCACCACTAGTCGGAATGGCTATAATGGCTTTATTTCTACTCGACGGGTGGCACCACTTTGTCATATTACGTCTAAACTGTCACCCAATTGGGGTTGTCTATATTCAGGCCGGTACAGGAGATAATTTGCATATTTTGTCACGTGGTTTGTGTTATAACCAATCAGATGTAATCGCGTGTTCGTGACGTCACTTCCAGCTGTATCGCAAAGCGATCTCATGTGCAGAAGTGTGAAGCATGGTGAGGTGGTGGAGAAGGAGGAGGAGAGAAGCTGGTGGAGGAGGAGGGGGAGAAGCTGGTGGAGAATGAGGAAGGGGAGAAGGGAGAAGCTGGTGGAGAAGGAGGAGGGGGAGAAGATGGTGAAGGAGGAGGAAGGGGAGAAGGGAGAAGGTGGTGGAGAAGGAGGAGTGGAGAAGGAGGAGGGGAGAAGCTGGTGGAGAAGGAGGAGGGGGAGAAGCTGGTGGAGAATGAGGAAGGGGAGAAGGGAGAAG